AATCAAATTGAAGACATCTTATCAAATATTTATTATAATTCCAATGATAGGCAGCCACATTAATAAAGTGAAAAAAGCAATTTTTTCATCCAATATATTCAAAAGACAAAAAAACAACCTCGTTTTTTTTTGTAATACATGTCGAATACTGAAAGATCAGCCCAAATCCAATAAAACATAATTGTTCATAATTTCACATTGTTCGAAATCAACTACTCAAAAAAAATTTATTGCATATTTTCTAAAAAAAAATATTAATTTGAAAAACAAGGCACTTTGAATCCCTAACTTACAGTTTTAAGTAGTTTGAATACTGTGAAGGGAAATTCGAAACAATAAGCCTACGCGTTGACCTATAATTTTTAGTCGGCCGACTATTTAGTTGCAAAAGTGAAAACCATACATGCTTACGAAACCGATCGACCGACTAATTGATTGCATGTGAGGGCGGCTCCATAAGAATATATTGGTTACAAATATGCAACAAAATAGTCGGCCAATTAAAAATTGCCTGTCAGCGTATAACATAAGGCTACGCAATGCAATCAAATATTGGGCCGATTGGCTCCATAAAAATGAATTGTTTTCACTTTTGCAACTAAATAGTCGGCCGACTAAAAATTACATGTCACTGCCCTAATTATCCTAAAAAACTGACAAGAGAAAGGCAGAAAAATGCATGCTTCATTTAGAAATATGTAATAATTACTTTTGTTCAAATATGCGATAATTGTTTTAAGTAGTGTATATTGTTAAAAAACTTATATCTAGTGTGTTTCTATAAAGACTTCCGTGCATTGCCTTCGCTCTGTGAGTCAATAGTAAACCGTCAGATTTTGTGTCAAGTATAATCTGATGTCAGTGTCAAGCATCTGATAAATACCTCATTCAGCTAGACTGGGAACTTTTTGGATTCCCCTATGTACTGTGTGGAATTTATATATCGTTATAAATAAAACAACTATATTTAATATTCTCACTGGCCGGTGTCAGAAAATCGAATGTTGTTCCTTTTTACGGCCAACACAAAAACCCGATTTGTTTATATCTTTTTTCCTCGCTTATCGGACATCTGAATCATCTGACTCCGGCGTTTCTTTACGAGCGTCTCTTCCTCCATTATGTGAGAGATATCAGAGTTTAATGAAAGTCACCCATATCCTTATGGAATGTGAACATTTGTCCCAATGCAGATAAAAAAATCGTGGGTGTTTGGGAAGGCTTGAAAAGAAACAATGTTTTTGCGACGTTTCGCGACTTTATTGTCGCTTCTTATGGCACCAAAACATATATTGAAGAAGCGACAATAAAGTCGCGAAACGTCTCAAAAACATTGTTTCCTTTCAAGCCTTCCCAAACACCCACGATTTTTTTATCTGCATATTAACTACTGGGAACTAACAATAATCATAATTTGTCCCAATTTAGAAATAGTCTTGATCTCAATAGCTCCGTAACCAACATCTTTTCAACACGGGAAAGATCTAAATTGTTTGTCTTCTTAAAGGAAACTAGATATAGCCTCAAGATTTAACGGTCATAAAAACAACTAAAAACTAAGTAAAACACGAACTACGCTGCTAAATAGCCATTGTTGCTGATGCGGCTTCAACCTACATTTCTTCTTCTTCTAAGTCAATCAAAGTAAAACAGTCTTGTCAAATATTTATTATAATTCCAATAATAAGCACCCACATTAACACTAACCTAACCAATCGATAAAGTGAAAAAAGGACCTTTCTTCAGTTAACCTTCATCCAATATTAATTGTACTTAATTCAAAAGGTACAAGAACATACCTCGTTTTTTTTGTAATGCTAGTTTAATTACATGTCGAATAATACAGAAAGGTCAGCCTCAAATCCAATAAAACGTGATAAATTCGATCGGACAGGTGTTTAATTTGGATAATCGGCTCGCTCATCACCAACGAGCACGAATAAAAAACGACAAAAGAAGTCGTTGACTGGCACTAACAATCTCTTCACCTTTCACCCCCGCGTCGTATCTGCCCCGGGAAAATACAAATCGTCGACCTTCAATTTTATTTACGGCCCAAGAGACAAGTTCAAGGCTAAAATAGACGAAACTAGTAACCACGGATGAGTAAATGTAACTATTTATTTTCATTATAATATACTAAATTTATTACATTATTTTATTTATATAAAAAACATGTAGCATATAAAAAAAGCTACAATTTAGGTAAGAACTTTTATCATAGAAAATTACTCAGTCCTAATCACAAAGTGATAAAACACTTTACTTAAAACTCTATACGGCTCAACTTTCGCTTAGCTGAAATTTGTTATATAAAAAATGACTTTATATATGCGTTCTAGAAGGCGTTAGGAGTACAAATATACAAAAATTTTTCGGACTTTAGTATAGCCGAAATCTGTTACATCAAAACTAGTCTTCGGGGTTTGTTTTAGACATTTTTCTAAACATTAAAACACAAAAAAGTGTCTTGGAAATTTTTTACTTTTTTTTATATAGAAAAATGTTTTGACTTAGAATAGCCGAAATCAGTTAAATGAAAAATGAACTTATATTTGTTTTATACGAGCCTTTACGAGCAAAGAAATACAAAAAAATTCCTGCGGAAATGTGTCAATGTCATTTTGTGCACTTTGTTTTTCATACGTTTTTCAGTTTAGATGCTTACGGGGCCCGGGAACGAATAGGTGCTGGGTAGGGTAAAACATCTTTCTGAGGAATAACAATTCTTGTAAAATAGATAATATAGGTTCTTGTAAACTATAAGTACCTCAAAAAATTGCGCTTATTCTTGTTTTATAAGCTAATTCTTGTTTTATTACTAAAGCTTTATAAGCGTAGTTTACACGGGATAGAAAATTGAGATAGAACTTGCTAGAGTAACTTGCGATAGTGTTTACATTTAAGCAAATTTTATAGCAATTTCTTGCAACAAGTACTTTCTAGGCATATGCTTTAAGCAAGAAATTGCATGCACGTATACACGGTATGGTGTATATTGCAGAAGTATATTGTTTAGTAGAAAAATGTTGGGCCGTAACAAGAGAGCTGCAGCCACTGCTCTTCTTGTTGCAATTTTACGCAAACAGTCAAGAAAATCTAGAAAGAGAATATGGGTTAAAGAATGGATTGCCAGAAGGCCTAGTCTTGGAGCTTATGCAATGTTATTAAAAGAATTAAGAAATGACGACCCAAAGCATTTAAACAATTTTCTGCGAATGTCAGAAGTCGATTTTAACTTTTTACTACAACTAATTTCGAAATTGGATATAATCAATAAAATATCAAAATTGGATATGCCACAATTATGGAAATCCTTCAAATATATTAATCAAAGTGATGGTATGTATCTTCTTTCGACCACATACGTTTCTCCATTTTTACAAAGTTTACAGAATTTGATTTTAATATCGTTATTTGACACGCCTTCGAAAATCACTTGCACCAAAAACTTTCAACAAGACGGAAATAAATTTCAACTTGCCAGAGCACTATCCCAACCTGTTTACAATTGCAAGCGTCTTTGGCCGCAACCACTTCCCCGCCAGTTTTGTGACTTGCTGGGAGAGCGCTTTCGGATACTGTTTACATTATGCAAGTTTGGCAGGAGTGCTCTCAGACATATACTTGCGATAATTTACTTGCCCGTATAAACTACGCTTTACCTAAAATAGGGCTGATTCAAAACAAAAAATCATTGGATCGTGCAGTTTTCTTTTATATTTTAATAATTAACTGTTATTTTGCAAAAATATTAGATTGGTTAGCATTTGGGTTGCTTTGGTTAGCTTTTCTTTGTGGAGGGTGTTAAGCTGTGGTTTTTATATTTCAGACGAGATCAATCTAGATAGATTAGATTAACACACTACTGGGACTAAAACAAACAAGGCTCAGCTACAGAATAGATGGAGAGACGATATTAATTAAACGACAAACGGAATACAGATGCTTTCAAATAACAGAAGACAAAACAGCATGGAAAAACACATCATCACAGGAGTGGACAGAGAATGACTGGAGAACAAAGCTTAACTGCTAATTAATTTTAATTCTAAAATACGTTGTTTTATAGCGAAAAAGTTTGGGTACTAAAAACTATAGTAAGTTATGTAATGAGTTCATAATTTCCTATATTTCCAACCCTGGCAATAACTATCCAGTTAGCGACGATTCGAATGACGTAAATCGGCAAAACGGCTGAAAACTTACGAGAAGCCTTTGAACAGCCGACTGGGTCGTTGATTTGTAGCATGAAATTCTAATAGAAATGGCTGGTATTGTGCTATTTTATGTCACATTTTTGATTGACGCATATGTTTAAGATATTTAATAAAAATTTCAACTTACTAATATACAATCAGGATCAATAATTCAAGATATTTTATTTTGCGTAAGAGATGTCGTAAAAGAATTAACACAACTGCAGGTATCATTCTAGCAAAGAATATGGATAGAGGAGAGTTACAGCTCTTCAAAGGTTCCTATTTTTTTTACGTCTTCAAGTACCGACGATAACACCACCTTTCGAAAGCCACCAGTCTGTTAATTTCGGCTGTTTTAAGGGTCTACGCTTCGGCACCGCACCATACAATAAGGTCGGAAACACGTAGCATCGGAGCATCTTCTTACCTTGTATCCAAGTTTATATCTCTATTGCAAAGAAATTTCTTTAGTTTTAAAAAAGAATTTCTGGCTATCTCAACCCTGGAGTATTTGTAGTGTTGGACTTTTTCTATTGGCGTGCGGTTTTTTTATATTAAAGTATTTACATTTTGGACTCAAGCAGTGGTAGCTCTGCTGTAAAAAATATGCCAAGTTACCCTATTTATTTATTTATTTCCTGACATTGTCATTCGTTTTGACACTTTAGGTTTGTATTACGAAATATTATATTCGTATTACGTAGAAATAATAACGTAGTTGGTAAATATGGGGAAACTACAAAAAATGATAACGGAGAGACACTAATTGATTTGTGCTCGCGAAATAAACTAAGAATCATGAATGGATTTTTCGAACATAAGAACATCCATAAATACACCTGGCACCAAGAAACTAGACAACTTACATCCATTATAGATTATATTATGGTTAAACAGAACACTGAATGGAAAATCGAGGACGTGAGAGCTCACAGAGGTGTGGAGTGTGGTAGTGACCATTACTTAGTGAAGTCAAAAATGAGAATAAAATACAAACGTAACAGCAATATCAATGACAGCACGCCGGATCTCAGAGAAAAAATCAAGACCATCAGATATAAAACATATTTATTAAAAGAAAGTAGTGTTAAATTACTATATCAAAATCGTCTAAAAGCAATTCTAGATGACCACACATATGTGGTAAACGCTCTGACAGCTGCAGCAAGTGAGGCTTTAGGCGAAGAAAATACAAGAAAAAAATCTGATTACGATGGATGGAACAGAGAATTGGAAGAACAGAAAAACGTAAATCAAAAAACATACCACAAATGGATATGTACAAAATCACCTGAAGACAGGACAGAATACAAAAAGGAGCTCGCTACTTTCAAGAAATTGTTAAACAGGGAATTGTTAAGAAAGGAATGAAACGTGGGAGAGAGAAAATGTGCTGAAATTAACTCATTTCTAGGAGGCTCAAGATCAAATGAAGCTTGGAAATTTATAAGTAACCATAGATCGGCTAAATCACCTAAAGTAAATATACCTTCTATCAACATAAATAAATTCCAAGAACATTATAAAAATGAATTGAAAGAAAGTTGCCCTTTATATGACATGATGTCCCCAACAGCATATAGAACTCGAGGAACATATATGACGGTGAGTGTAGATATGGTTGAAAAGGCTTTAATTGCTATGAAAAACGGAAAGTCTAGTGGTCCTGAAGGAATACCAGCGGAACTTCTGAAATGCGGACCGAAAATTTTGAAAGAAATTCTCGCTTGTATTTTCACTACATATGTTAACGGGGAGCCCATACCTGATTCATGGATAACTCCAATCCACAAAAAAGGAAGGAAAGATATTTGCACTAACTACAGATGTATAGCTGTGTCTGACACTCTTAGCAGACTGTACGGAAAAATACTTAAAACCCTAATAGAAGATGAATTTAGCCCCCATGAGATTGAAGAACAAGCCGGGTTCAGAGCAGGCCGCTCATGCATTGATAATATCTTTCCAATAACTCAGATCATTGAGAAAAAGACGGCAACGAATAACGACCAAATTCATCTCCTGTTTGTGGACCTTAGTAAGGCTAGGAACCTAACGGTACGAATTAAGAAACTATGGAAAGTTCTCGAAAAAAGTCCAATAAATATAACACTAATAAAAGCGGTACAGCAACTTTACTGCAAATGTTCCGCAAGAATTAAAATAGGCCCAACTCTATCTGAATTATTCCCAATATCAAAAGGTCTAAAACAGGGTTGTTGTCTATTCCCAATTTTATTTAAAATCTACATATCAGAAGCTCTTAAGCACTGGCGCATGACAACCTTTCTCTGTATACTCTGCATTTCGCCGATGACCAGATAGTAATGGCCGAAGACAAAGAAGACCTAGAATACATGACCAGAAAACTGATAGAGGAGTACGAGAAATGGGGACTGGAGCTAAACAAGAAGAAGACAAGATATATGTGTATTGGTGGCGAGTTGGAAGACCTAGTATTAAATAACAATATAAAAATTGAAGCTTGCGAAGAATATATGTATTTAGGGGTAAAAATCGCAAGCAAAGGGAGATGCGAAAAGGAAATCGAAGAACGGATTGGTTAAGGCAGAAAGGTGATAGGAGCGCTGAACTCGGTGCTTTGGTCTAGGGATATCTCGGATTACAGAGAAAAACTGATTTATAACGCGATTCTGAAAAGCGTAATGTTATATGGCTCTGAGGTATGGCAGTTGCGAAAAACATAAAAAGTAGTTGTTGTCGACCGAAATGGACTTCTGGCGAAGATCAGCCCGAATCTCCCGTTTATACAGAATTAGGAACGAGAGAATACGTGAAAAAATGAAGGTGGAGGGTAACATTGTACAAGATATACAAGAAAAACAACTGCAGTGGTACGGCCATGTACAACGAATGGCTGACGATAGAATACCAAAGTAAGTGTTGCAGTGGACCCCTACAGACAGACGTAAACGAGGCCGACCTAAACTTTCCTGGAATCAAGGAATCGACAGAGCCATGTCGGAAAGGATCCTACTACCAGGAGATTGGGACAATAGGCGGAGGTGGCGCATGGAGACCGGAGGGCGACGAAGGACGCTGTAAAACCGGACATACATACAGGTTTGTATTACGGGTTTTTGGCTTAAATAAATAGTGTTGTGATACTTTAAGCTTGAAAATGTTTACTAGCATATCTTGCAGTCGAACATTGTTCTTTTTAGAACCTCTTTTAGTGCGAAGTGTGCAAGTTAGCTTAATAGCCGTAAAAAACTCTTTTTTAGAATATTTTGAACGGGAAAGCGGTAGTAATTGTTGCAGTACTAACGCTTGGAGCACTAACGACACGTAATAATAGCCGGCGCGGCGGTTAAAAGTACAGATGGGTAAGTCCGGTATTTTGGAGGAGTAGGTATATCAAGCCTACGTCCGAGTTCCAGTTTTGTCGGATTTGTAACATTCTAACATGACACTGCTATGAAGCACAAAACCGTTTCACTTTGTAATCATGACGTGTCCAGGTCCAGAATATTATGTCGGGACAATTTTGTAGTCGCTCCATATGGCGATATAGCTCCATATGCTCAGCATAGTTGATATCGTATGAAAGGATGGGTGTCGCTATTAAGTAGGACCATCAGTACTAGTACTCCAAAGAGGTCCATAGATTCGTGTCCACCATCGCTTCCCTATCTCTATTTAAAAGCTAGTACTGGCCCACTACTACCTTCACTACCTCGTATAACAACAGTCCTATAGTATGGCAATATAGCACGTAGAAGATCTATTGTGTCCCCCTTGCTTTGGTTATAACTCATCATACAGTCTCAGGGCTTTGAAAAAATCCAGCTCCATCTCCCATATCAGTCGTACCAATATTTATGGTACGATTGGTTGTCGTCTCGGCACACTCAGTGTGATGAGGTGTTCTGGTATTTTCCCACTTTCCTCACAGAATCTCCGTTGTTTCTTAGCTTCAATCTATGAGGTGTTCGTTGAGGAGACAGTGTCCTGTTAGAAACCCTGAATCCGAAAATTGTTCTTATTTAAATGAAGGAAAATGTTTGATTTTTCTCGGTCGTAAGTTCTGAGAAATTTCTTCGGGTGTCCGTTGGAGGATTCCCACTACAGGCTACGGATGGAGGTTCTAGAGTTCCGCTTTAAGTTGGTTTCTACTTGGAATACTTTGGAAGAGTACAGTTGTGCAAATATAGGAAGAGACTTGGGGATAGCACCGGTCGCGCACACGATAGTGATTTCTCACGTCTCTAGCTAAACTTGTTAAGTTGTATATTACATTAATTATTCCAATCCGAAGTAAACCAAGTTTCATAAGAAATCATAAAAATTACGTTCCCTTTCTTTGTGTATTGCGATCTGTCTTAAATTGTTTTTTACACTTCGTTTCGCAAAATTATTCGTTTTCGACTTATTTTAGTCTTCTTAGTGACTATCTGGAGAACGAGAACTGAAGCTTCTCAAAATTAGTGGTTATCTCAAATAACAAATATTTAAGGACTTTTCACAATACAACGCAACTTAATAAACAAAAAATGACTGAAAGGGCTAAAATTTTATTACAAAGTGTGGATGATCTATTCTATCTTTATTAATAATAAATGCATTCCTATTTATTAAATTAATTATCGCACGTCAAAGCTTTATTGTAAACAAAATGAATTATGCATGACCTTCCACTATAAAACTCGCTGGAAATGGGCTAACCGAATGACCAAATAGCCCACGCTAAATAACCAGCAGTTTCATTCCGTTTCTAGAAATAGATCGAAATAAAAACACCCACGACACACATTCCGACAAAAAGTCGCTGATTCCCAATTACTGTTTGTTCCTAGAATAATCAATAGTCCCCTAATTTGAATAAAAATATCCAGTCTATACTGTAAGAAATATATCTATACTGTATGAGCAAGTGAGCAAGAAATATTTGGCCAAAAATCTCATTTTTCACTAAGAAATCAAAATAAAAATTCATGCTAAAGCCATGGCAATATCACTTCCACCTCAAGGATACTAGCGTCTTAAGCAATTTAGTCGCTAAAATCCGAGGTAAAATCTCAAACTTTGTGAATATATCCAACATCCTGTTTCTTAGTTACAGTCGCATCCAAACTATTAGTGTAAATCTCGAATGGTTTAAGAAAGACAGGCTTCTGAGGAATAGCATCTTCACATGCGGACGGAAACTTTCAATCCCACCAAGGCATAGAAGGCATTGAAAAAGCCAACGATCCAGCTAGAAAAGGACCGAACACTCCACTAACTGGACCAGAACCATTCTGCTTGCCAAGTGGAACCCAACTTCAAGCGGAACTCAAAAACCTGGAAGACTCCATTCGTAATCTGGAATGGAAATCCTCCAACGGTCTAAGACACTCGCAGAAATTTGTCAGAACTTACGACCGAGAAAAATCAAAGATTTTCCTTGATTTAAGTAAGACCAATCTTCGGTTTGTCCTGGGTTTTTAACAGGACTCTTCAATGAACACCTCAGTAGTTTGAAGCTAAAAAACAACGGCGATTGCAGATTCTGTGAAAAAAATGGGGAAACACCAGAACACCTCATCACTGTGTGCGCCGAGACGACTACCATTCGTGCCATGAAGTTTTGGTACGACTGATATCGGAGTTGGACAACTAAACTCAAGAAAGCAAAACACAGTAGATCTGTAAGTTCGCGGTGAATAACCCCCTACCATTCATTCTACATTCTACATGTCATCAGTAGTCTTATTAGTACCTGGTAAGTATGATGAAGAATGTATTTTCATTTATATATATCGTTGTCCAAACCAAACCAAACCAAACACTTTTATAATATAATACGTTTTGAATAATTTAGTAAAATGTAATAGTTATTTTTTATACAAGACGATAAAATGGTATTTTATCGTTGACCGAAAAGATTAATTCACGAGCGATGAAATCGCAAGTGAATTAATTTCGGGAGACGATAATGCAATTTTATCGTGTATAAAACAATATTTTTTTCCATAGCGAGTTACGTTTTAAAAAATATTCAGAAATTATTATTTCAAGGAATTTATTACGAGTAGAAACAATATTGTGCTGGGTTGGCGTTGGTTTCTATGTAATTTGACAAATAAATAAAGCTGTCTCTTTAGTTGTCAGTTTTGAGTCAATATTATGTCAATATCATGTCAATATTTTCTAATTCTCTTTCGAGTCGATTGCTGATTGAATTGGAGCCAGAAATGGCTCAAAACGAAATAAGTAAATTACCAACAGATATTCAGACATGATATCACTGACAAATGCCATATCCAAACTACTTCCATTTAAATCCCGAATAACTTATGAAAATATGAAAAGGAATACAAAGATTTTCAAAAATGGAAGCAATTAAAAAACGTGCGAGAAGAAAGATC